ATGACAACTAAAGACCCATTCTCACCAGGCATGCTTCACTTCCCTTCCATGATTTTAATAAATATATGTCTTACGCATCTTTAGAGCGCAGAACTTTAGGCCCTTTTACAGCCATTTATCATAACCATTGCTCTCATCCGGTATCATTTCCTGGCGCTCTTTGGCCACCAATGGCCCTTGCGCCATTGAACAACATATATCATCATCAAGACGGGAAAGACAACCACCATAGCATTACTGTGTATCAGTCAGCAGCTGCATGAAAACAGGCATAATTGCACTTCAGGGTGCAATAAAGGAGGGAGGAACAAAAGTGTCATCCTTTAAGATATTGTAAACTAGACAGCATCAGTTCTGCGGGTGTGAAAAGCAGGAGCAACCTAAAAGACGAAACCGAAACTTGCCGGCGCACACTCTAGTAAAGCATTAAAAAAAAAGACATTGGTGCAAGAAAAAATTTTATATATCTCTGCAACGCGGTAGCGCATGCCGAGTAATAGAAATAAATGATTAAAAAAACCTATTCTTTTTCAACATACGAGCAATGATGCACATGTACGTCAACCATCTTCAAGATGTTTCCCGAGGGTTGCACATGTTTGTCATTGACCCTGAAAGGGTTTCACTTGCTTCTTCAGATGAGCTGGGCCTGTCTTGTCAGTTTTGACTTCTGTAGCTGAGATGGAGCTCAGTTACTTCATATTATTTAAGTGCTGACGTCTGACACTTGGGACCAGCACAGCATGTTTATGTATCTAAGGTCTTCCTTTTTTTTTCTTGTGGGAAAGATTGCACTGCACTTAAGGTAGTATGTTTGTTTAGAGATTGCGGTGGCATTTTTTCATCTTAGGTAAAAAATTATTGGCATTCTGTGAATGGAAGTTATAAAAAAATGTAATACTTTTTGATGTTGAAAATTTTGTTAATTGCAGTGTTTACTTTCGCTTCGGTTCGCGTCGTATTGGCGTGATAGGTGTTACACATCAAAGCCAACACCTATAAGTGGGTATGGTAGTGTGAACCGACCAAAAACAAAAATTTATATCTTTATTTAATTATTTAAAAGTATTTCTTTCTGAGGCGCAGCACCATGCATTCGCTAGCGTGTGGGAGTGCTCTAGGCCATTTAAAAGTAGACCTCCTAACACATACATGGGTGCCCTATGTTTATGCATGTGCACATTTTTTTTAGTAACTATGGCTAGATCAGTTGACTACATTATCTTCCTATCATTTTCGTGCCTTTTGATCTCAAATTTTCCCACCAAAATGCTTTTTCAGTGCAAATATTTCTGTGGGTTGTAAGTTCGTTCTGCACGTGTTTTTAACCATAACATTGTGTCTTTTTTAAAATCAGTTTTTTGAAAATTTTTCAATCTGATGTATCTTTTCTTCAAAACTATTGTGCTCAAATTTTCTTAGATTGCACATAATTCCTTCCAAATATTCTGACCTAGAACATTGAAAATCTGCCCAAGTTAAATAAGAAAATAAAAAAAAAGATTAATTAGAAAGTTCTTCTCATAGCACAGGACAAGTGAGGACAACATTTTTTTTCTTGTGAGGTAAATGTAGGAGCCCATTTTTATAGGTCAGAATTATCATCAATATTGTTTTGAAAAAGTGTGCCAAATCTAGTTGTTATATTGTTTTTTTTTTGTTTTTGAGAAAAGGTTCATTTAATTTTGTGCCCCAGCCTGAAATTCGGCACTTCACTAGAAGCAAGTAAGAAAACACGCAGGGTAAAAATTGCACGGGCTGAAGGCGACAGACTCTCTTATTGGGCACACAAAATTTCACGACAAAATGTGGTGTTTAGTTCGTGAAATTTAAAAGTGAAACCTAGATAACCTGTTTATCCTACCATACTCTCTTAACTCTCTCGTTACCGCGCGAAAACGGTTATTTTTCATATATCTCTGGAAGAACGTTTTTGCCAGCTTGAAAAGTACTCCGGCATGCATCAGGATACGAAATTGTGCACAATAAAATGCCCTTTCCAAAAAATATAGCTTGTAGCACAACAAAAATATTTTAAATGAATAAAAATAAAGAAATTGTGTAGTTTTTGGTTGCTATCTGGTAAACAGTGCAATAGAAAACACTATATCTTCAAAAATATTTGCAAGAAATTAAATTAAGAATATACATTTTGAAGATAAATGACTCAGCTATAGTATAATAAATAATAAATGTTGTACAGAATGTCTCTATTCACGTAGACAAAGAAAATCGATGCTGCTTCATTGTTTGTGCCTGGCCGTGAAGTATTGCTTGCTTTTTCATGAGACATGAGTGAACACGTACGCTTTTCTTAGTAAATTTTTGTTTATTGCAATAAGAGCCTGCAGGTGTTCCATTATAGATAGATGCCTGTGATGTGATGAATTCCTCTAGAAATCAGATGTCCAATGAATTTCTTCTAGCGTCACCTTTTTTCATGAGCCGCCTCACTCCGCGTAGGTTGGCGTTCGAATAGTATTATACGTATGCAAGCATATTTCTTTGCATTTCTGCACATCGTATTAGAAAAAGCAATATCGTGCGCTGTCCTGAAATTGTTCGCCCTGCTCCGTAGTCAGGTCCAATATGTGCTCCTGTGACTTTATTGTCAGCACACCGTGCCTTAATGATGTGTGGACCTCGCACGTAACCAGAGCAGCTATAAGATTGTGCACAAACGTCAGCTGCTACGCACCTGTGGTGGAGGAGACAACTTGAGGCTGTAAACAGAACAAACCCATAAACAGCTGCGAATGTCTCCGGCTGACGCAAAACATCATTGCCATGATACTTGAAGCTGAGGTACTGTCATCTTCAGACTTCGAAGCCCTTTCTCACCCAATTTTGATGTGTATGCAAGACAGTTTCGAGCAGTGCTTTTTCTCAAAAGTAGGCACCAATGCGGGTGTGACCACAACTATAAAAGCGACTGGTGACACTAGACGCCGCCTTGTGTCTTATATAATGATACAAGCGAAACCAGAGCTGCTGGAAACTGGCTCAGAGGGCCACACGCACACTTTACACATGCGGCGGACCTTCGGAAATGTTTTTTATACAATAAATTTCCTCCGACTCTTAGCAACAGCTCTCTATTGAATAGCTGGCATATATTTCTGGCAATGATTACTGCTCAACACTGTCAGATGGCGAAGCTAACTCCTTGAATTTATATTTGGCTTGAAAAGGTTATTTTGATTACAGAACTTTGATGTTACTGTAACATAACTGCGAGGGGTAAACACTTTTGTCAAGTTTGCCAGCCAAATGCTTTTACCCAACAACATGTGCAGATTGGTTCATGCGAAGGTGTGTCAAAAATCACTGTGTTGCCAGAACGGGCAAATTCAAATTGATTCTTAAAGTTAAGTGGCTGGACTAATTACTAGAAAGTGTTGGGTGCAGGAGAAAGAAATTCAACATCCCAAAATCGACAATCCAAAGCGTCGATCACCGGTGACCAGTTTCAATAGGTGTGGTAACGAAAGAATTTAAGGGTCACTAAAGACAAATATTAAGTTTAGGTTGATTATAGAAATAGTTGTCCAGAAACATCAGAGTGCTTCTTTCATGCCCAAAAAAATGCTTATTTTGATATAAAATCACATTTTAGTGGCCTTCATGACATTAGAGCTTCAAATCATCTGTCTGAACGGGCCTGATGTAGCAGTTTCCTTGCCCAACGTTGCCCGCCTTTACTGCATGGCCGTTGACATAAGTAAAAGCAGAGTGAAAGTAGTGGGAGCCACAGCAGCAACATGGGCCATCGAAGCTTGCACACAATGGATGTCGTCAGTAAACCTGGTAACGAGACAGCGGCTTGTGACGCTGGTGCAGAGGCATGGCACTCGGCCACTTCGAGAGGAAGGGTTTGCTTCATGGCACCAAGTAGAAAGTTATGTCGATTCCTTTGCTGCGGCGCACCATTCAGGCATCCGGCAACATTGCATGCATGCAGCATTTTTTTTCCTACTTTCATGAGCGTGCAAAGCACACTGCATTACGTGATACCGAAACTACCACTGAGACGCGACTGTATGAGTGAAGCACCACGTGAGCGAAGCGCTTGAGTGAAGCCAAGTGGTTCTTTTTCCATGAATCGAACAGAAACATACAAGCAGCGTTTCAATATGTGTTGTAATGCATGGAAGGTTTTTTCTTTTCTTTCAACTGGTTTGATTACTAGTGATGTCGTTGACGCTCTGGACTATTGGTGTCGCTAGGACGATTCCGAAATATCCCTTTTGTAGTGCATATGGCGTCGTACATACACCTAAATTTCTCGATTAGTAGAGTACTGCTGTTGATAATATTGATGTTGAAGATTTTTTCAAATATTGGTCTTTCACTGTGATGTAAATTGTTATTTGCCTTCAGTGTTTCTTTAATGACCAGATTCATAGTGATACAATGATAGTGATACAATGTGCTTATCTCGAGCAGTAGTTACACTTGATTATGATATCATGTTTCACTTGGTAAGCACTGTAAATTGGTCTCCCACTTGTGTTATTGGGGCCGCTGCTCTAGTGGCCATTTATGCATGCATGTGGCCTGAAACATCAGCCTTTCTGCCGTGGTATCTTAGGGGTTATGTGATGTACTACCAGCTAAGCCTGAGGTCCCAAGTAGGATTCCTAGCCACGGTGATTGCATTTCAATGAGGGTGAAATACAAGAATGGCTGTGTAGGCTCAAGTGTAGTGTAGGCTCATGTTAAGAACCCTACTTTGCCAAAATTAATTCGGAGTTTTTCATTGTGGTGTCCCTCATATTCATGTCTTGGTTTCGAACCCCAGAATAATAAGAAAAATAGCCATACCAGCTAGTAGTCAGTGTTGTTTCTTGCTGTGATGAACAGTGGCGACATTCTAATACTGACAGTATTGTATTAAACTATGGGCTCCACATTTCAAACCTTTACGTCTCTTTACCACATTTCTTATTCCTGACTTTTGAAAAGCGAACAACAGTACTGTGCAAATTATTGCATTTCAGCGTTGAGTCCTTGCTTGAAGCCCGTCGGGAGGATCCTGAAGAGCTTCTCCTTGCACTTGGCTTTGGTGGACCTGTGCGAGATGAGAACCCAGTCTCACGCATTCCTGAGCGCTTCTTGGCACAACCATCGCAGGCTCGTGGTGTCGATATGCGCCGTTTTGTCACCCACCAGGAACAGTTAAGCCAGCGACATGAGGCCGGCCTTCCAGGTCAGTTTGGTGAGGATGCGCGTTCCTGCTTTTTGCTTCGCGATGCCCAGATTCGCTGGCTGCAACGTCGTGCCGTTCAGCGTTTGCATGCCCAGCGGTTGGTTGCTCGACAGCAAGAGGCTGAGGAGGGCACCGGGCATGTTGCTTCTGACCAGACTGCTTCGAGTGCCAACTGGTCCCCTGCAAACCGGACCTGGGGCAATAGGGGTGTGCCAAGCATTTCTGTAACCTATGGTGGCACTACAATGACGTGGGAGACCTACTTTGAAGGTCTGGAGCACCGCAACATAGTTGTTGGGGAGAAGAGTGCGGCACTTCCACTTGGACATCGAGCTGTGCGGTCGAGCTTGGTTTGATGAGTGTTACCATTGCAAAATGCGATGGAAGTTGACAGCTTTTTCTGGTAGTGTAGTATGCAATTGACTTGCACTTTTGTTAGCTCGTCGTCACACTTGGTGCTGTGGCTGTTACATACTAGAGAAAAAAAGAAAGATTGCTATTCAGGTTCTTTTTCTAGACGATGGTATGCACTCTGGCGTTTACAGAAGTGATCATTGCATTGCTATAGAGCATTTTTTAATCTATCTTGCTGTGGAAGCAGAGATGAATTACTAGCCTATAGCTGTCAGTGCATCTTATGCTAACTTTGACACTTCCATGAAAGATTTGGTGTGGTGATATTCAGCCTCACTAGTAGTGAAAAGACTCCTGGTGTGCAGATTTCCCGGGAGTGATTTAAGGTAAAAGATATGAAAAACATTTCAATAAGGCCTAAAGCTGACTCACAGTAGCTGATATAACTGCACTGTCGGGGAGCTCCTATTTGAAGGAATTGCTATATTATTCTATTTTCACCAGCGCATGTGTTGGTTAGTTATGTTAAAACAAAATCAGATTGGCATATGCATATAGCATATCTCATTCTGTTTTGAACCTCGCCTTAGCCAGTGCTACTACACCTGTGGCTTGCATCTCCACTTTTTTGTCAGCACTAGACGCATAATGTGAGAGACACATGATAATTTAGAACTGGCTATACAGTAGAATCTCGATGATACGATTACAGTTCATGCCAATTTCACGATGATACGAAATTTAAGGTCGCTTCGGATATACTAGATTATAGAAAATACACCATGATTCGGTGTTATACGAACAGTTTCCCAGCTACCGCGGATGACACGAATGCGTGATTGACCGCTGCACACAAGTGATGCAACGTGGCTTTTCTGTGGGAGGAAGGCCCGTTCACACTTGACCTCGAACGGAGTGAATGCAGCAAAACTCACCGGAATTTCCCTGGCTTCGCTGCCGGAAAATCTTGCTGCGAGGCCGACGCGAAAAAATCTGTCTGCGACTAATTTTGCGGTCACGCGATAGCGGATTGCCTTTCTGCTATGGCTTTGGCTTCGCTGGCTGCACTAGCACTCATGCCACATGATGTAAACAACCAGCCGTACATTCAACATGGTGGCAAAAGCGGTGCCGGTGGCTTGCGTCGGCGTAATTGCGAACTACTTGTGCAGCATGAAAAAGCTTATGACCTTGAAAAGGACGCATTCGTTGCGAGCCTGGTTTGAATTACGTTCACTGCAAACTCTAGAAGTAGAAAAGGTGCAGCAGCAGCGAGTCGTCATGCCCTAACGTGTCTCGTTTTGCACTCCTGGCTGAATCCGTCGCTGCCTCTGCCGGTTCGTCACTTGTGTCGTTTGTTCTAGTGTACATCCTGAAACAATGTTTGTAAAGGTGTAAACTGTTTCTTTTCAGTGATTCGCATGCATAACTAGAACTCAGTATGGATTTTAATGCTCACGAATGAATATCAAGTGGTTACGGTGGTGGTGGCATGTATCTGAGGGGAAGAACAGATGCGAACATTTTCGACAGGTGTGGACATGGTCTTGCGGCCGCTCTGGCGTTTTCGCTTGAATTATCTTGTGTGAATTCTCCTGCACTGACTTTCTTCGTGTCGACTATGCAATGTGTTTTTCCGGCCGCTTAAGCGGCAAGGCGAGTGAATTTCCAATAAGTTTTGCCGCTTTCGCTCCCTTTGATGCCAAGTGTGACCGCCCCTTATAGCGCCAGCAGCATGAATGAGGAAACCGCAGCACTTTATTAAGAGCCAGTGAAAGCAGGAAAGGTCAAAAGAACATCATGGACATTTTTTTCAGCAAGAAGTAGTAGACCCCAATAAAGTTCTTGTTCATATGCAGTATCAGCTTTAACTTGTTTTTGTTTCATATGAATTCAGGATGATACAAATATTTTGCTTGCTCCCTTCAAATACGTATCATCGAGATTTTACTCTACTATGCTAAAGCTCAGCTGAGATCAGGGGCAAATCACATAAGGTTGTTTTCAATTACATGCTCAATGCAAATCAAAACTTGCGTTAGTGAAGTGTACATGTGAAGCTTACATAGTGCACTGAAATCTTATTTTAAGAAAGTTGCATCTTGCACGAAAATAAGTTTGTTATATTTGAAAATTCATTATAGAGGTATATTCTTATCATTATGTTTAATGCAAGGCTTTTCCTCATTTACTTCGTTATATCTGGGTTCATTATATTGAGGTTTGAGTGTACTGATGTCTATCAGTAAGGATAAAGGGGCTCCTGCAAGGCCTTTGCAGCATGGTTAGAAAAAGCTGCCACTTGGTAGTCGAGGCTCCTGTGAGCATACGAACCAAACATAGCACAGCATGCGGCCTGAAACTCAAATTAATTCTCAGAGTTAGCTAGAAATTTCTTCTCTCTACAAATGATGCCATATGCCCAAATAGCCACGCCATATAGCCGAAGTCTACAGCTGTTGCTGATTTGAGCATTGTGAGTGGTGTAGGTCCCATGGCCGCTGTGGGATATCACATGCATGTGCGCATTTTCGCTATCATATTGAAAGTAAGGTGCACATTCCAAGAAGAATGAAAACAAAGGGCTCAAGGTCATGATGCGCTCTGACGAAGGGATGCACCTTCGTGCCTCCTTGTCATCCTCCCCCTGCATAGCTTTCAGCGTGCTCACTGGTACGAAAAGAGAGAGATAGAGTGCTTAAAGCGTGTGGCAAATCTTTGTGACTCCGTGCATAGTTGACAGACCCTGAAATGATTTCCAGCTGTCTATTCGTGAGGCAATAAGCTTTTTCAGAGCAACCTATAAGGCCTGTCCACGTGCTTCTGGCACAACAGCCGAAACGAACCTGCTGAAACACCTGTCACACCCAAGTGCGGGGAAAATGAGTGAATCGGTCATCACTCTCCGCTTAGGTGCGGCAGGTGTCTCAGCATGTGCATGACGGCTGTCTGGATAGCGTGTGGACAGGCCCTTAGATCACTACTAGGAGAGGTATTGCAGTGCTGTTTTAATTGCTTTACATTCAAAGTTGTTCATGACATGCATCCTATGGTTTAAATGTCAGACTGCTGTGGTGTCATAGTTATGTAAGCCTAATTCTGTGAAAAAAATTAAGCTTTTTTGCAGGTGTGTCGCACCGAGATACACAGTCTGTCTATGGTAAGATGCTATGGTAATACATACTCTAGTCCAATATTTCGGTTTTAAGCTACACAACTGCTTTAGCGCATCAAATAAAAAAAGAAACACACTGACCTCTCAAGCACCGCGCATGCAAAACGCGGCAACCCCCACACACCAGCGGCGCACAAATGGCGGGTGTTGAGGGAGGGGGAAGAAAATTCACTGTTTCGAGGCTACGCTCCTCCTCGCCGGGAAAACGGTCTATAGCCACTGCTAGACGTGACTGTGGCACTCAGTTAGCCTGTGCCGACCTGCATGTTTCCAAGCATATCCGCTGAGAGGATCGCAAAGCGCACGCTGTGGTTACTGATAACCTTATTGGCCACAATTAAAACATTCTGATTTTTGTCTCACCACATGACATGAGCCTATAACCACGGTGGCAATTACAGTTAAACCTGCTTATAACGAACCTCCTAATAACGAATTCCTCAATATAACGAAGTATTTCTATTCCCCGCTGTCATTCCATAGAAGCACATGTATTTGCGACCTCTATGTAATGAAGTAACACCGGGAAATAACCTTAATGTAACGAATTTTCCCCTTGCAGAATATAGGAATTTCACTCCGCGTTTTGGTACAAGCATGCATCTTTCGCAGCTGTCCCACCGCTCACGAAGCGTGAAAATGAGAGAAAGCGCTCATTATTGTGTGCGGTATTGTGTGCGGTGGGCAAGCGGATCTGCGCCCCACGAACCAGTATTGCCTTCAGTCTCGTTGCCACGGGCGCATGCGCGAGTGTGCCCCCCCCCCCCCCCTAAAAAATTACTTTTGCGCGTTGGCAGTGTTACGTGTTTAGTTACCGTTGCTATGTGGGGTTGCGCTGCACATGGCGGGCGCTTTACCAAATAGTTTTCTGTGGTATTTGTGCCTGTGTCCGTGTTGTTCACTCATAAGCAAATCCTCGTATGGCGGGCTGACATTCAAAGAGTCAGATTTTCATTCAGTAGTCTAGTGATTCGGACTCACGATGCCGTGTGCGCGGCACCCAACGACGTTCAGCTTGCTTTTTTTTTTTCATGCGATAGCAATTATATGGACAGTCTCAGCTGTTTTTTTTTTTGCCGCCGCTGCGATTCACCGTATCTATATATACGAAAACTTGAGGGGAAAAAAAAAAGGCCGCCCGCGCTCGGCGCCCAGCTCGTCACCATGCGCGGACGCCCGCTTATCTCTCACGCGTACTTTTCCCCATGAATGGGGGGGGGGGGGGGGGTAGATGCTTGTTTGCGCGCGCTTATTCTTAGGTGGGGAAAATCGCACACCTTGACTTTGGGATTGTGTTTAGTTGCCAGGCACACAAAGATAATTTCGCTCACTGGACAGGCGCCGTTTGCTAAAAGAGTGTGCTTTTCAAACACAGCGAAATAACAACTGGGGCAGTTGTTAGTTCGCACTCATATCTGTGCCTGTGGTTACATTTCGTGCGTTAAGTGTTGAGTGGTAAACATAGTTCGCT